TCCTGAGGGCTTTAGGTAGAAGGCCATCAGATCAAGTTGTAGATACTCACCCCTGGAAACTCTCAGAAGAAAGCAGTGACTGTTAATTTAGAAGGCTTGGGGTCCCTCCTAGCCAAAGATGCCCAGAATAAGCCAGAGGCTTCCCCTCAAGAATTCAGGAATGTGGTTTCCAATGCAAATAAAGACTACATTGTAGATGTGCTGCTGGAGTGTGTCCAAGCCCTCCTTCTGTCCTTTGAGTCATTTGGAAATAGTTAACAAACGGGTTGAACACCTGGGCTGATTACCCCTGAAGGGGATTTCCAGACTCTATCCAGTAAAACCATCTCCTCCCCTCCTGAAGCAACTCCGTTCCGCTCTCTCTGAAGTGTGCTCTCAAGATTCCAAATTTTTCTCCTAGGCTTCCTAAGTTAGAGCAGCAACTGCTGCTGACACAAAGAAACAAGGAGCCAAGCAACTTTGTGCTTTTTAAAAAAGTTTATTTTAAATTAAAAGGAACAGATGTCCAATGTTTCAAAAAGCCACACATTTGTGGATTTGGCTGACAAACCGTCTAAGCTGCATTTCATTTCTGTTCCCAGAGAGTCAGCCAGCCACTTACAACTGACTCACACTGGGCCACGGTTTGGGCCAGTCTCCCAACTACAGAATTAGAATCCCAGATCTCAAATGAATCCAGGGTGTTTGGGTGGAGAGCGGGGGCCATCTAAAATAAATTTTTTCTTTTAATTTAGTAGTATCAACACCCACACAGCAAACTGTGCAAGGCCAGTAGGTCAAAGAGAATGAGCAAACAGCTGGCACCTGCCTGCCCCAGCACCACGCGATTCTAAAGGCGGTGAGTAAGCAGCTGTCCAGAACAGGTTTTTATTATAATCCCTTTTATGAGTACTGGTTGAATATGCAAATACATGTAGGTTATTTGCTGCAATTCAAGGCCTCGCCCCCAAGGCAAATGCATTACCTCAGGTGAACTCCTGGCCTTGTTGGGAAGGGCTGGAACCCAAGCCTCCACTACCACCAGACACAAATGACTCAATTGATTTAACAATGTTCAAGTACTTGATGTGCTTTCTTTTCTTGTTGTCTTTGAGGATAAAGGAACAAACACTTCAGATGTAAGTTTTTTGCTTAGCATTTCATTTACCATGTTTTGTGAATACCCGGGAAGCTTTGATCAGTGTCAGTTAGAAACGGAAGGCTACGTGGCTTTCAAAAATGGCTATCGAACTCCTGCTTAGAGGCACCTGGCTGGCTCAGTCCGTAGAGCACGTGACTCTTGATCTCAGGGTTGTGAGTTTGAGGACCACACTGGGTGTGGATCCTACTTAAAAGAAATTAATAAATTCCTGCTTAGGTTGTTTTAACTTTTTGTGAGCACATTAATAACTAATTACAAATAAAACTAACCAATAATCTTTTGTCTTCTAACAAAAATGAGACTTTCAGGTCTATTGAGGAAGGTCCCACATGCCAACTTTTAAAACTATTTTCACTGCACCCAGCAAACCTCACTAGATATTCTAGACGGAGTATTTCTAACAAGGTATTAAAAGCACATATTCCTTTTTTTCCTCTACATTCTAGATTTTTTTAGTGTTTTATTTTTTGTTTATTTTTGAGAGAGATAAACAGAGTATGAGCAGGGGAGGGGCAGAGAGAGACACACAGAATCTGGAGCAGGCTCCAGGCTCCACACTGTCAGCACAGAGTCGAACGCAGGGCTTAAACTCATGAATTGTGAGATCACGACCTGAGCTGAAGTCAGAAACTTAACCGACTGAGCCATCCAGGCGCCCCTGAGTATATTTATGCTCTTTTAATGTTTACTTACTTTTGAGAGAGAGCAGAGTGTGAGTGGGGGAGGGGCAGAGAGAGGGAGACACAGAATCTGAAGCAGGCTCCAGGCTGTGAGCTGTCAGCACAGAGCCAGACAACGGCCTCAAACTCACGAACCACGAGATCATGACCTGACCTGAAGTCGGGGCTCAACTGACTGAGCCACCCACGTGTATTTTAATTTTTTTAAGTTTATTTATATTTGAGAGAGAGAATCCCAAGCATGCTCTGCGCTGTCAGTACCACGCCCGACATGGGGCTTAAACTCACGAACCGTGAGATCATGACCTGAGCTGAAGTTGGGCGCTTAACCGACTGAGCCACCCAGGCGCCCCTTTAGTTTTCTACAATAAAAAACAAATTAGGAAATGTCAACATTTTAAGGAGGTAAGGTTAGAAAAGTATTCTCAATTATTTTATAGTAAATTTTGTGTATCTGTGCTTTGTACTTTAATTGCCTCATGGGGGGTTTAGTTTTGGATTTAACAAGGTTTTTATCAAGTCAATCGGTTCCTTAATTTCTGCCTTTCTCTTTATTAATTTATATTTGGGTTTAACTTCTTTAGGCAGAGCGCATCTACATCAAAACAAGGGCATACCTGTGGGGAGTATTTAAAACACGTGTATTATCAGGGCACGTGGCTGGTTCAGTCTTAGAGCATGCAACACTTGATCTTGGGGTTGTGAGTTCAAGCCCCACTTTGGGAGTAGAGCCTACTAAATAAAAACAGGTTTTCGGAGCAAATGCAATGTAAAACTCTTGCGTGTGTACCAAATGCGGGCTTTAACGAATTAAAAGCAGAACACGCCAACAGTTAACGGTAGTACTTTATATTTTATCCAACTTAATCATTACAACAACCTGCCTATTTCTATTTCTATAGATGAAACCTAAAGCTCAGAATTTAAGACTTTCTCCAAGTCACATATTAGAGGCAGAACGTTGCACACGGAGGTGAGTGGGTTTCAAAATCTGGGGAAGGCTTTTTGACTGTAAAAGGCTGGGAACTCCTCTGCGCTCCTTACACACGGGTCTGTCAAAACACAGTTCACCCCAGGGCACAAGAGGACAATCAGTTATTCTAATTAGCTTAGTGCAATGACTGTCCTCAGAGGAACCACTGTTGAGCAGCGCAAGGGGAGGGGGCTTCCCGCTGTCCTACGACAGCTAGGACAGAGCACAGGGGAGACCCAGGCGCCTGTTCACGCCAGAGCACTTCCTACTTTCCACATCTCCTGAATTAGTGTGTTTCAGGAACCGCACTCCAGCTGTACCTTTTTCTGATTTTTAGAGAATGAGGAGAGTGACCATCATCCAAACGAAAGCAAAAGCCTCCTTTTGTTTCAGCACCACACGTTTCCTACATTACACTGTTTTCAGGGAGGTGTTCCTCAGTCCCTAAGTGTATAAACTGAGCATGTATTGCATGATAGTGTATTGTACCACTTGGCAGTCATGGAGTTGGGACACGACAAAGTACTACAGAAATTTAAGGCACAAAATGACACTTAAACTAATTAGATGGAATTAGAATTCCCAGGCACTCTCCCCCCCTTTTTTTAAATTGCAGTAATAGCAAACCATCCACTTACATAACAAATTTCCTGGTCTCCCACCACCTGGAATCAACTAAGTTTGTTTTTGGGATCGGGGGGTTGTTTGTGTCCATTTTGGTGGATACAGGAAAGGGACAAGCAGACCACTGGGACAGAAGGGTAATGTTCTGCCCCAGCCAGAGCCCGAGGGACCATCGGAGCACGCCGCCACCTGAACGCTTCGTGGAGGAAAGGGGGACAGCTGTTCTTCATTTGTTTTCAAAGCAAATTCATTTGAAAGAGTGAACAACGATCATCATAAGTCGAATTTATTACTTAGCTCCTCAGTCTAAGAAACGTTTCTTTTTTCCTAAACACTGTACCCTGAAATAAGGTTACCAATAACCGAAAGATTTAGTACATACAGTACAATTTATACTGGATTTCCTTTTTCCTTTCTTCAAACACCAAATAAAATGCAGGTGAAAGAAATGAAACACAACTGGAAGCCGACTTAGAAATTTATGCTAACCTTAAAGAAGCTAAAAAATTATGTTGGTTAATGTGAATCTATTTAACATCAAACATCTGGGTACTGCTTTTCAGATAAAGGAACAGTCATTACCAGAAGGTCCCTGGGCAGAAAAAAAAAAAAGAACGTTAAGTATAATAACCTTTTTGAAACCCACAAGGCAGGCTGTTTATCCTTTATTTAGCTGTGGTCATGGAGACCATCCCGATTTTCCATAAAATCTTCTTGATACTGCTGCAATATCATGGCATAAGAGATTCAAAGTGCCACTAGACATAAGGACCGGAGGTTTTCTTTTTAAATCATAAACCATGAAGCTAGGTAATGCTTAAATGGGAATATTTGATATGGATGGTCAGATGAGAGATACCAGAATGTCAGACAGCCCATCGACTGCTGTTGCCATGAGATTCAACAGTCAACATCAGTCTGATAAGCTACCCGACAAGGTGGTACAGCCATGGAGATGTCACGACGGTAGGCAAACTAAGTAGACATTCAGGCAGGATTTGATAAAACAATCAGCCATTTCTGGCCTGTTGCCATTTAAACCCAATTCTACTCTTAACATAATGTCAGAAACGATTTTCCTAAAGAAAAAAAGTGAAATTGTTTATTTTCCTCCCAAGCAAAACACAATGACCAAGTTCACAACCAGAAACATCCCAAAAGAAAATCACAAAAGAGCGTAACACTCACTGAAGAAAGGGTAGAAAATTAGGTTACATTCTAAAAGTAAATTTCTGTCAAAACCAGAGTACACGCTGAGCTAAAATTAACACAGATAGGAGAAAGTGTAGGTTTTTTTTGAAAAAATGAGTTATTTCTCTCTCCAGTGCCCTTTAATTTGTATACTTTCATTTCTGTTTTCACAAACCCCTCGCCAGGCCAATCCATAGGTGGCCATTTCAGCAGCGTGTAGCGGGCTGCCCAATTCCAGGTTAACAAGAAAGTGCCAGGCTGGTGGCTCTTACGTGCAAATAAACGAAGGTTGAAGAAAGTATGGTTGTAGGTGGATCTGGCAAAGCCGACCGTCAGGTGGTAGTAGTTAAAGGGAAGCAAAAAATCAAAACGCTCAAGAAAACGGACACAATGTTGGAATGATCAAAGATGTCTTTATAAAGTTTGTTCATGACTTCATTCTAAATATACAGAATAAAAAATGGTGTCAGCTCATTCGTGAGACACCAACCAGAATTTTCTTATACTGTCTCAAAATTTAAAGATCAGTTTCCCAAGAGGGTGTGCAATGCATCATAAAATGGCCTTTTTTTTTTTTAAGGTAGGAGAGGAAGGGTTGGGCAGGATGGCATATTAAATTTTACCATGATAGACATGCAAGACCATTATCCAATCTAGTATAATTTATACACATTTTAATGACTTAGAAAAACAAAGGAGTCATTTCTGACAAGCCTAAAAGGCTTGACATATTCAACATACTTAGGAACTAGTTTTTGGTGTCCGGAATTCTTTAATTGTACCACGTGGGCCTTTTGAAAGTAACAAAGAAAAGGCCGGTTTCTGTTAAGTTTGTTGCTGAACATCACATTCCACCCGAATAAAACACAAGCTGGGTTGAATTGAGGGTGGAGACCTTACCTTAACACACAAAGGAAAAGTGTGTCAGTGCAAAATATGGACTAAACTGTTTTCGGAAAAAAGAAAAAAAAATTGTTTTTTAAATTGATATAGGTTGGAAAAGGGAATTTTCCTTCCTGGTTTGGAGTCCTCCCGATTTAAGGCGGAACTCTTCCATTCTAATTTCTGCCGTTAGAACCTTTTTCTCATTTAGTTTTCTCCTCTGAGTTCAACCGCTGCTGGATTCGTTTGGCATAACTTTGTGCCATGGAGTTAATGATGGACAGGATGAAGTAACACACCATCACAACAACCAGCTTCTCAAACATCCAGGACAACCAGTTTTCTCCCTGTAAGAATAAATGCAGAACAATCCGCGAGAAATGCTTCATTAGTTCAGTAGTAAAAAGGAGATCACGTGGTACAATATTTGAGAAACATAAGAACTTGGAGCTTATAAGCTACAAAGTCTAAACAATGAAAATGAGAAGACCTGCGCCTCTAGATACCCTGAAGTCTATATTCAGGCTTTTCGACACCCAATTATTAAGATTTCACTTTGTCAGATGTAAAGTCAATGTCGATTCACATAGTATAGAATGGGGCAGTGTAGGGTCGCCTTTTTTACTACACAATAAGAGTTTTGATTCAATTCTGCTCTCGGAAGTTGCCATGTAGAGATACTTGTGGAGAGCAGAGTCCAGATAGTTACACGTTGTCCCAGCAGTGGGAGCAGCTTTTAAAATAGGTCCTCCATTTCTGAAGTCATGTTTGGTCAACTGAGGGCAGCAAAGGCCCACCCAGTGTAAGGCTGTCGGGGGGGGGGGGGGGGATCCAACAACTATGCTTCCTTCAAGTTTCCCATTTCAGGTTACTGCTTACCCATTTCCCTTTGCCACAGAACTGTTTACGGAAAAGGCAGGCTTAGTTTAAGTTAAAGTTTTTAAGTTCAGCTATGTGAAGAGCCTTGGTTTATTTTTAAAAAAGGAAGAAAAAGATTATTTTCCCATCTCCGAAAAGAAACAAATAAGGCAAAAATGAAGGGATCAAGTGACCTCAGTCACATACTATGTGACTATATTTATGCTATGAAATGCTATGAAATGCTACAAATTTTAACTTTTTCATCCACTCGGGAAGTAGATTTGCTAATAAAACATTTAAGATGAAGGCAGCAACTCTTTCTACATAACAGATCCATCATTTTCGATTTGCCCTCCCTTTGTTTTTTGGGAGAAGGTAGATACAAACGGAAATTACATTTCTCATTTAGACAAAGCCAGTTTCCTCGTAGAGAGTAAAGAGAGCCTGCACTTCAGTTATTAAAGACTGACAGGCAAACTACTCTCTTTGCCTAAAAATGCCAGCAAGTGCTGGGAGTATAATTTCAGCCTGAGACTGGCGGGTGGCGGAAGAGAGGAAAACGGGAGTAAAGCCTCACCTGCGGTGTGCCCGTTTCACTTCTGTGGTGAAGCTTCTGCCGCTGGGCCTCCAGGTATTCCTGGAATGGCTTCTGCAGAGACGGACCTATGCCGGGGACAGCACTGGAAGCAGGGTACGATAGCCCAAGGAAAAAGACACATTTGGGAAGAAAAGCAAGAAAAATGTTAACGAGAAATCCACTTACCACCTGGACTCAAAAAGCAGGGATTAGATAGAAAGAGGAGGAAAACAAAAACAAAAACAAAAAACAACAATCAGGAGAACTGGCAAAATCCTCTGAACTCTTTTCAGTGGATACAATTCATCCTTTAACGACCCCTTCCTTCCAGGAGAAAAATCTCTCCCACCAATATGTTTAGGAGAAACTAGGAGCTGAGCCCCTTCTGGCAGAAGAGTTCATCCTCAGAGTGAGGCCAGCTAGGCTGATGCCGCTCGCTGCTGTGGCACAAAGAATAAAATGAATGACTTCTGAGAAGTCTCACATTTATCACCACCAGTTCCTGTAAGAACTGGTTTGAACCGATTAATAAGGAAATGACTTATGCTTGTGTCATCCCTAGTTGAAAAAGAAACTGCCCGCCCTCTCTCTGACTTGTCCCATCTTCTCAGAGGGGGGCGGTCCTTTCTCAATCTAAGTCCTTATTAGGACAATCTGTGCGTCATCCTTATCCAAAAAGAATGCATTAGCAAATTTGGGAGGCACCTCCCACTAGTCAGAAATCAGTGATTAACAAAGGAACAAAGAAGGAACTATGAACCTTGAATCACTTCGTGGTTTATGGTAGATGGTTTGCACAGAAACTACAGTACATTGCTAAACAACTTGTTCTGAAATGACTGGGATAGGGATCTCTGATAAGTTTCTGTACTCGGGGCTCCCTCTCACCCAGAAGACGTGGAGGCAGTGCTGTTAAACCGGTTTGGCAACCAGCTACCAGGATCCCGTTTTAGAAATGCAGGCGTTTTTTAAAATGGTAACTTGAGGCAACTTAGAAAATCAAGCATCTCTATTTTCTGTACCTTTTATTTTCTCATCTGTCATAACAGGGCTAAAAGGTACATTTCCTGCGCCAGCAAAAGGTATGTCAATATGTATTTGCAACAGTACCTAATGTGCTCCCTTATAAGTACTAACTTCACAGCCTCTTTTCTAGAACAATTCAGTTACTGCTTTCTGTAATAAAAAGCAGAGGAGCAGAGGAAGAGAAATTTTTTGCTACTATATTTACCAGAAGTTAACACATACATAACTCCTGGCTGACACTCTTCTTTGATCCTCTTAAGTATCAACCACCAAGTATTTAATGGAGTCCTTATTTTGTGTCTGACATTGTAACTGGCACTAAGGGAAAACAAAACAACTGCAAGAAATAGTTCGTGCCCACAAGGAACTTAAAATCATGGAGATTCAAAACACACGGGCACATACACGTTCACACAAACTGATTTGTGAACAAAAGAATTTACAAATCAATAAAATCAATCCTAAATTTTTTTTTGGTACAGAAGATATATTCCAAAGGAACCAGGGAAAGGAAGGAGAGATCAGTGTGGGGTGAAGCTGTCAAAAAGGTCCTGAAGGATATGGAGAAAGGGCTGAATAGACACAGACAGCAGAGTCCATGACTGCACTGATCTGCCTAGAAGACCGATATGGGCACACAGGAAAGACAGAGAAGGGCAAAGTCTCTTTCTTAACCTACAACCTCAGTCTCAGTCTCTCTCTCTCTCACTGACTTTTATTTATTTTTTTCATGGTTCAGTTCCTTTATTCACTACAAGTAAGCTTACACAATGTTTTTATTAATATCCTTCAGGGGTAAATATTCAGTGAAATCATTAGGAACCTAATCTTCCACCACCTGAAGAGAATGCCATTAAAGTCTTATGTTCAAACCCTCCTTCTAATGACAAGTCAGCAGTCCAAACAAAGGCTATATGGAAGGTACTTTGACAATGGTATTGTGATGACCTGAGACAGTCTTGTGAAAAGTCAGTGATCTGACTGGATATAGAAGGTCACAAAAATATGACAGTGATACTGATGAAGATACTCGTGACCAGAAAGCATATAACGGATTTGTTTCTCATTTTATTTAAACCATGCAAATAACCCTCTGAAGAGGCAGCATACATATCATCATCACTTAATGAACAATAAAGCTCAGAGAAGTTCAGTTCTTTGAAGATGGTTACATGCAAACTGTATTACAGTAAAATAACAGTGAGTTCTCCATTGCTTGGAAATATAATAGGGGCGCCTGGGTGGCTTAGTCGGTTAAGCGTCCGACTTTCGCTTAGGTCATGTACTCGCAGTTCGTGGGTTCGAGCCCCACGTCGGGCTCTGTGCTGACTGTCAGCTCAGAGCCTGGAGCCTATTTCAGTCTGTGATTCCCTCTCTCTCTGACCCTCCCCTGCTCACGCTCTCTCTCTCTCTCTCTCTCCTAGAAATAAATACAACATTTTTAAAAAAAAAAGAAATATAATAACTTTCCCATTTGGACTGAACTTTTTCTAAAAAATAGTAGTAACAATAACTTCCACCAAGGATTTTTTAAGTGTATTCATGAGATAATGAATATATAGGGCTTGATAAATGACCAGTTATGTAATAATAAACATATTATATTAACCATATATCTCACTGACTTTTAAGTAGCTTTACATTAAGGGGTAAACCAGAAGAGCTGTGTCTGAGCTGTGTTGCTGTTCATCAGTCATGATTCTGACTATAATAGGGCAACGAGAGGACAAACTTTCTCTCTCTCTCTCTCTTTTAAAGTTTTATTTAAGGAATCTCTACATCCAAAATGGGGCTCAAACTCATGACTCCAAAATGAAGAGTCACATGCTCCTCTAACTGAACCAGCCAGACAGAACTTTACTTCAGAAATCAATTCTTATTCACCCTTAATAACAATATGTTAGGCACCTGGGTGGCTCAGTGGGTTTGAATATTTGACTCTTGATTTTGGCTCAGATCATGATCCCATGGTTTGTGGGTTCAAGCCCCATGTCAGGCTCTGAGCTGGCAGCGCAGAGCCTGCTTGGGATTCTCTGTCTCCCTATCCCTCTACCCCTCCCCTGCTCTCTCTCTTTCAAAAATAAATAAATAAAAATTAAACAAACAAACAAACAATGCCCTATATTGTTCTTACACTTCCAAGGATAGCCACAGTCAAGCCACCGTGTTTAGGTTAAAACACCCCTTTTATTTATGAAGGCTAAAATAACTGTATGCTAATATGAACAACTAGTTTACACAAGAAATGACATGAAAATTCTCTTTTGATGTCCTCCAAGAGTTGTATTCTGTTATATGTGCCTTGTTCTTTCTTCAGACTTCCAACTGCAGATTGGAGTTGAGCAGAAATAAGGCTTACAGTTTCCCTCAGATAATTCTTGGGCTCCATTCTTGGGCCATTAGAAAGAGAAAATGAAGAACTAAGACCCACATGTGAGAAAGGGTCTCTTTTTTTGTTGCTGTGGTTGAGGGGAATGAGGAAGGGACTGGCAACAATCATTCTAGACTCCCTTCAAAATAATCTGAAGTTAAAAGGTTGCCATTGTTAAGTCCATTAAGAGCCACCCTATAGCTGAGAGAATATATGTCACTACACATTTACATTTAGTGGTGTGCAATTTTCAAACAATTATCTTGGGCTAATGCTGAGATTAATTTTCTAAGGTGCTATAGTGCTACATGCTTTGAAGAGTTTTGGGTGAGGTGGGAGATGTATCTATGTAGTTTCTCATAAGAGACTAGGAAAACAGTTGAAAATGGAGAAGTTAAAAGTTTTTATTGCAGAGGCGCCTGGGTGGCTCAGTAGGTTAAGCCTCTGATTTTGACTCAGGTCTGATCTCGCGGTTTGTGAGTTTGAGCCCTGAGTTGGGCTCTGTGCTGGCGGCTCAGAGCCTGAAGCCTGCTGCTTTGGATTCTGTGTCTTCCTCTCTCTCTGCCCCACCCCTGCTTGTGCTCTGTTTCTCAAAAATGAATAAACAAATGCAACAGAATCTCAATAAATCCAAAAAAAAGGAACATATAAGTATAAAGAGTTATATAACTAACTCAGATTCTCTTAACCTTGATACACTCATCAAAATTTTAGTTTTATTTTCATTGCTCCAGCTCTATAAACAATGGCTTAGGCCTCAGTTGCCTCACCTCCTACAGAGTATTACACTAGAGTTCCCTTAATTAACATCAAAGGTATTTAGTAATGGACTACATAAAAATTGAAATAACAGCTGTCACTCTTAACTTGCATTTAAGGCAAACAATACCAGCCTATGACCTCATCCCTCAAGTTATTTTCAAGCAGCAGACAGAAGAGTCCATTTTGACATTTAAGATTAATTTAAGGTACATTTATTGGGGGGGGGGGGAGAAGAATAACTTGCATTCCAGTTCAGTGGTTTTTTACAGTTGGCTTAGGAAATAGCTTAAATGCCATTCTCTGAAAGCCATTAGATTCAAAGTGCCCTGTGCACCTGGCCAACGAGTCATCTCAACTGCAGTGAATGGGTGAAGTCCTTCATCTGCCATTAGGTCTGATTAAGTTCCAAGTCTTACAGTTTTGTGATATAAAAGAACATAAAGTAGGAGAGCAAACACACACAAACTATGTTTCAGTCAACTACTGGACTTAACTATGTTTAAACTAGCTTTATAAACAGCCACTTTCTCTAAGCAAGAAAGCCTTAAAAGAAAAAACCCCAAAAAACAAAAACAGAAAAAACAAACAAGAAATTGATCTCATCAGCTTTTCCTTGCTGTAGACCTTCAACATGGTGAGTAGAAAAAGCTTTTGTGGATAGGAGTTATCTTGATATTTTTCTTGGCATACACAAACATGTTTCAGATAATATAACTCATTAAAAAACAAACGTCCAACAAATTAATGGCAAATTTTGAATTTTTGTTATTGATTTTAATAAAGAAAAAAATACTCTCAGGAAATGCAAACAAATGAGAGAAAATAAAGAAAAAAAAACCTATGTAAGTTCAAACCCACCCAGAGCTTGACAAGTGGTTTCGTGAGAACAGGATTTTGCCAGGCTTACACACCTTAGTAGGTACGTAAGAAGACAACTTCTTCAT